CTGGCTGCGCGCCCGGCCGCAGCGCCGGGTTCGCTCAGTTCTCACGACCTTCAGTCCGGGGCGGAGCCGGGAGCCGGCCCCGCGCGCTGCCTGCCGCCTGCCCGGCTCCCCGCACCGCTGGCCCGGCTCCAGCTGCCCTGCCGCCCCTTCCCCGCCACCACAGGGGAGTCAAAGGGATTTGACCTGCAACACGAAACATTTTTCTTATTTAAAAAAAAAATATTAAAAAATGCACCCCCCTGCTTCCTTCCTTGGCAGCCAGGAGGGGGGGATTTTGCACCCCCCTGGCTGCAGGGGAGAGGCAGCCCTCGGGTGGGTGGGGAGGCTCCCATTATTCACCCTTGGCAAGCGCTTGGAGGTTCGGGCTGGGAGCTGCTCTTGATTTTTATTGTAATGTGCCACTGCCAGCCGCCCGCCCTTCCGCCCCCGGTGCGCTTTGCTCAACCGTCTGGATAGGCGGGCTGTGGGGGAGGTAGATATATACCTAGAAAGATTAGGCGGTGTGAGATCAGGTGGCTCCTGGGACACGCCAGGTCACCCCCCGCGCTGGTTTGCAAGGCCGGGTACAGAGACGAGGGCGTTGGGGGCTTCGCTCCAGGGACCCCAAGACTCCCGCCCCAATCCGTGCCCGCTTTGCAACTGTTCTGCCTTCCCCACCCCTGCACACGTACCTGGAGAGTGAGGGTGGAGGATGACAAAGCAGCGGAGGAGAAAGAAAGGCAATGAACTTTAGCTAAGCCACAGGAGGCCCAGGGTGAGGAAGCAGCTGACAGAAGGGAGCTAGGGTGAGCAAAAAAATCCTGCTGCTCAGGAAGGTGCCAGCAGAAGGGCTAAAGGCAACAAGAGTGTGCATGCCAGGGAAGGAAAGCAGACCCCATTGCCTTGGGTGCGCTCCTTTTGAGGTAGTGCCACACACGGGACAGACTCAGTGAGCCCTACAAACCGAAAGGGGCTTTGCCTACCACTCTCTGCCTTCTAGGGGACCAGGATGTGCTGTTAGGACCAGCACTGATCAGCCCTTCCCACTGCTAGGGCTGTACTCCTACCAAGTGCCCAGGCTGCCCAGCTTGTCTACGCTGCTCTGCAGTCACAGAGGTGCAGACACGGCGTTGAAGTCAAGAGCGGAGCAGGGGCTCACTCTGTGTAAGGGTATCGCCGTCCAGCTCTGTTTCCATCTTGAAATGGCTCTATTTATTGTTTCTCTTCCCCTTCCCACCGCACCCAAAGATTTCAGGCTGCTGATGCCCCACCACGTGCAGTGATGACTGGTATAATCATTACCACCTGGCACCTTCTATGCATCTTTGGACTTTTACCTCTCACCACCACCATCGTACTTTGCTCTCTATAGCACCTTTAAAGGGACAAGACTAGCTGAAAAAAACAATCAGTCCAGAAAACTGATACCCACCAGAAACAGTGGAGATCAGAGGAAGAAAAACAAAGCTTAAAACAGGATTGTTAAAACTAGCAAAATGTGCTGTGGGGCATAGGCTTGGTGAGGAAACCGAGAGCAGATGTTAGAGAGAAACTGCTTCCTAAATCATTTTCCCCCAAAATGACTGAATTTAAAGTCCCCGGCATCTCTAAAGCAGAAGGCTCGTGAACCCTATTAGGTTGTTAATTCTGTTAGGGGTGTTATCGTATCCATTTGACGTGCAGAGAAACTGAGGCACAGTGCAGCTGGGATTTGCTCAAGGCCCCAAAAGAAGTCAGTGGCAAAGGCGGAAATAGAAGCGGGATTCCTGATTTCTAGGCCTGCGCTCTTTGTCGTTGCTCAGCTACGCGTCATCACCCCGAAACGTGTGTAGTGAAAAATATCCCAGAGAAGGCACATTATTGACTGTGTCTTCAGCGATGGAAAGGGAACAATCCCTAGAGACCCCGCTCTTGTTTGCTGAGCTCCAGCCCTCCCAGGAAGAGCGGGGAAAGTTCAGCCAGTGGAAGACCCTGCCTGTTTCTTTTTTGCCTGGATACCCAAGTATGTCAATAAAGGAAATCTGCTCAATCTAGGGCAGCGCGGAGGGAAAATGGAGTATCCAGGACAAGTCCAGAGACACCGCGCTACCCCAGGGAGGTGTACAGTTTCACACAGGCGACAGGCAGGCTTTCATCAGATCTTCCACGTCTTCCTCAGACGGAGGAGGCGGGGGTGGCGGCTGGCTGCGTGGTGGGATGGAAGAGAATCGCTGTAACATGATTTTATGTCTGCGATTGCATAACAAAGCCCCCTGGGAGCCTCCCGGTTCAAATGCATACCTAGCTCTGATTTGGAGTGCGGAGGTGCTTTCAGCCCCATTGATTGATTGCCGGCAGATAGGGAGAGGGGAACGGCCAGGCTGAAATCAGAACCAGGGTCAGTCGAGAGCCAACCCAAGGTGACAGAGGCCGGTACCAAACATCCCAGAGGAAGAAACCCATCAGCTGGCAGAACCAACCCCCCTCTCCCATGAAAGCCTCAACGTAACCCCGGTGACTTAGATTTAAATCCCCCAAACATGACATTGCAGAGCCCTTCCAGAACGTGTTGTTTAGCATTAACAGTAAGAATTAGGCATTCTTGTTCTCTCTGCAAATGTCCAATTACTCTTTGAATCTTGATAAATGCTTGGCCTCAACACAAGCCAAGCAATGGCTGATAGAAGTCTAAGATTCTGGATTAATTCTGAGAGCTGAACTACCTTTGGCATAAAGGAATGCGCTTGCTGAAGGGATGAGTGAAACAAGGAAGAGATGAGTTATGTCTTTAGGCCTGGCTTTTGCCTACGTTGGCTTAATTTGTCAGACAGTTCCCTTCCAGCAGGCCCTGCACCCCCACCCCAGAAGTTGGGAGTGAAGTGCACAATACGTTCCCTCCCACACTTTGCATTCATTCTTAATGGTCTTTCTGCACATCGTGGCCTTCTTAATTGGTGACAATTGGAAGTGGATAATTCTCTGCGTGCAAGGTTGCAATTGCTTCCATTTGGCTAGGATTCAAGTGCTGGGGTGAGTCATAATGGGTGGCAAAATTGTCTTTTCCTCAATTCCCCTTCTTGCTGGAGGGGAAAAAAAAAACCCACAACCCTGAATTATTCTCTTTTATGAGGTGGGCATTGTGAGGCCAGGCAATTGAATTTACAACAGCTTTGAGTATCAGAGTCTATCTGGCCCTGTCAATGAGAGTAGGGGGGAAAAAAAGACACACATTAACCCTCAGCTCTGCGTTCCCAGGCATTTCAATAGGATCCCAAACTTCCAAAAGAGCCCGCTGCATACACGATGAGACCCTTTATACCTTTTAATTACCCTCCCACACAATGGGGACAGACTCTTTTGCTTCTTTGCTAGGCAAGATAGTAACTTTTGCACTCCCCTCCCCACAACCCCCTTTAAAAAAAATATAAAGGGCGGGGGGATAAAGTTTTATAGGGGATCTTATTTCAATGAACTCCCTCGAAACAGGTAATGAGAGCAGCATGTTTCTGTGTGTAGGGAGAAGGTGCCTCATTGGATTAGTGGACCAATTTTGCAAATGAAACCCTGTTCCTTTGAAGCAGATTTTGAGAGATCTTGAGGCCCTGTTAATAGCAGCCAAACTCAGATAAGGAACATCCTTTTCATCCATCTCCTGGCTAGGCTTAGTTTAAGCGTTACGCACATTGTTCCTCACCGCTGCACAGGCTTTGCCTACACTGGCATGTCTTACCCCCATCCCCTTTTCTACCCCGCAAATGAAAAGAGGGAGAGAGTTATATTTCAAAGAGTTTATTTGTTCAAACACCTGCAACTTTTTGGAAGTCTCTGACACACACACGCACTCACACATTCATGCACACACACCCACCCACCCATCCAACCAAGATACAAACAACTTTGGCATTATTCTTCTTGCAAATATTTGATACAAAACTATTTGATTTCTTTTTAAAAAAAAAAAAAACCAAACCAAACCAAACCAAACCAAACCATGTCTTTTCCAAATAAAAGCATTTTTCAAGGAGTAAAAATAAAAGTAGAGATCCCAACCTCTGGAAACAATAAATAGAGACTTTGTACTCAAGTCCTTTTTTTTTTTTTTTCTTCCCCTTTTCTTTCTCTCTCTCTCTCAAATTTGCTTTAAAAAACCAAGCAAGGTTCCATACAACGGAACCAACCAAGACAGTTTTTGGGGGGCATTGCTTTAAGCAAGTCACCATGGTCTCCAGACGGATTCACTGCGCTCCCCAATGGGGCTCCCAGTTTGGGATACTGGAGCTAAGCTTCCCCCAAAGGATGTCAACCCCTGTACTGGGGATGCCGACGGGGTGACTGCTGTGTTCCCTGGGCCGCTGCCTCCAGACACAGGGGCATTGGCATTGGCGTAGAGGGGGATGACAGGTCCAGCGCCGGGAGGGAAAGCAGGGTTAGGGATGAGGAATGCAAACTGCCCATCCGTGGCTGGGACCAGCTGGAAGCCTCCGTAGACCTTGGGGGACAGGGCTTCGGCGGGGTTGAGTTTGCAGGGCACGGGCACCGGTCCAGCGGCAGCAGCAGCTGGGGGCAGCTGAACATGCAGAGGTTGCGCCAGATGTGCGGGCTGGCCAGCTGGCGGCGGAGGTGGGGGTGGATAATTCATAGCCACGATCTGGCCCAGGCAAGCTGAGAGATGGCTGAGCAGGCGAGTGCGCACATCCGTGTTCACCCCTTCACAGGTGGAGAGGAACCGGGTCACCTCGTTCATACACTCGTTAAATCCAGCTCGGTACTTGCCAAGGACGGTGGGGTCAGCACTCAGGGCAGCTGCAAAGGGAGAGGGCAAAGAGGGGCAAAGGTTAGCCATGGGGAAGGGTCTGCCGCCAAGCCCAGAGCCCCTCAGCAGCCTGCTGCAGGTTGCTCATTTCCTCCACTAGCTGGAACCCCCGAGGCAGCAGACGGAGGGACGCATGGCAGCATGTGCTGGCAGCAGCTGCTGTCCCGGGGGTGCTCAGCACCCACACGCCACCACTCACGCAACGCCTGGCTTCTCCCCCCTTGCGCTTACCTGTCATCTGAGCCCGCTGCAGGTTCCGCAGGTGTTTCACCGTCATCTCCAGAATGTCTGCCTTCTCCAGCTTGGAGTGTCTGGAGCTCTGGCAAAGGGGGAGCAAAGGGGGAGGTCAGGATGGGTGTCTGCCCTCCTTCCAAGCACTCCCTCTCACTCCTCTGCTCCCCCCACCCCACCTCACCACCCGGCTTCATTGCAAACCCCCAGACCTCAACTTACATCTTTTTTCAAGGCATCCAGGATGAGGGTCTTGAGCTGCCCCAGGCTCTCATTGATCCTGGCGCGGCGCCGCTTCTCCATGATAGGCTTGGAAGACTGGAGAGGAGGGAAGAAACAAGAGGGATGAGCACACTTGCTCCCATCCCTCACTTCACCGCTCCCCACGTGCATGCACGGATTCACCGGCTGGCCTCTTGCTGCCCGTGCCCGACCGATGCCCCTCACCACGCACTACCCGCCTGCCTCTCCGCCCCCATAACATCCGCGCATCCACCCCCACGCGTGATCCTCCACAGTCCAGGTGAGCTGCCCGGTGCCAGTCCCCCCCATGCCAATCCCCCTGACACTCCAGTCTCTGCCGCATTACGAGGCACGGCCAGACGCTGCCCCGTGGCACCCAGCGGGGTGCATCCGCCCCCCAAGCAGTCACCCCTCCTGCACCCTAGTGAAGAGGTGCCATTTACCTTGCGGTGCTCGCTGGCACTCTTGGGCTTGTCCGGCGTCTGGCTGGAACTAGCCGGGGCCCCTGCAATGGGAGAGGCTGTCGGTTTCTCCATGGTATCAGCGGGCATTTTTGTTTTTTGGTTTTTGGTGGCTCTTTTTAAACCCGGGGATTCAAAGCACAAGAACCTTTGCCCGATGGGATCTGGTTTGTTGGTTTTTTTGTTTTCCCCCAACTGTATCCTTTGGATCCAGCCCAGCACTGGCGCCTGGCTCTGCAATGCCCCAGCACACGCCACGCCAGGCGACCGCTTGCTTGCCTGCTGCCTCGACCTGCCGCCGCCAGGGCCGGGACCGCCGC